GAGTGGTCTGGCCTTTTTGAAAGCCTTGTGAAAGCGTGTCTGCTGCACGTACAGAAATTTACCTGCAGCTCTGGTCCTTATTAGAGTCTCTGGCTTCTTCGTGCAGGTGAATTGCTCATGAGAGGTGTGAGGTGGAGCAGTAAACCTGCACAGCCTGGTAATGTCTAACTGAGATACCATAGACACACCAGAGGAGGTGAGGAACAGCAAGAGAACAGTGTGCAGAGCTCTTCCATCTCAGAGTTACATGAACCGATGTCAAATAGGAAGGGGGAGAGCATAGAAGACAGACTGAATCTGGCAGTATGCTAAATAAGGGTCATATGCTAAAGGAATTCAGGTGGAATTTTTGTTCTGGAAGAGACATTTTGAAAGGTGGCCGATTTGTTGAGGGCAGCAACAGGAGCTCCTGACACAAATAGCTTTTCCCTCTCTGCTGTCTGTTGGTGGCCTGTGACTTGCAACTGCACTGAGACCCTGCCACTCGACAGGTGTGTCCCGATTACACAAATAAGTGCAGTTGGCCCCTGTGTTAGCCATCCCTGCCACAGGGCCAAGGTTGAAAGTGGGGCTTGGCCACTGTGACCTCTTTGTTCCCCTCCATGACCCTTCAAGTCAGGCCTGAGGGAGGCTGGTGACAGCTTTTATACAGACAGCAGATTTTGTCTACAGAAGAGATTCAGTCTCAGCAGGTCTCTGTAGACTTGCATTTCCAGATGAGGTCTTCAGCGGTTTAAATGTAGCAAAGTGTGAAGGACTTGTGGGTTAGGATGCCCCACGCAGCTGGGAAAATATACAGTATGACATGTTGGTGTTATCTTCTGTAACATGGTATGTGTTGTTGCAGGCACCATTGTTTTGGCACATGCTGAAATTGTAGACAGCCAGTAGAAATCTCCCTGGGATGCAGTAAAGCACAGAAGCTCTTGCTATCGCAAAAATACCATTTCTGGTGGCAAAGGACTTGTCTGGGGAGGGGATCACTGAAGGCAAAAATTGTTGAAGATTTAGGAGATATGCTTAGTCTCTGGCTGAGTGATTCTTTCATTGCCTTTGGGGCCCAGGCCAGCAACTGCCATGGTGGCTGAGGTCACCTGGGTCAGTGGTGCTGTGGGGCGATAGTCCCAGTCTTTCACTTCAGCAGCTGGGAAGTAGGCTCCACAAGGAATATTACATTTCTTTTGGTAACTCTGCCAAGAAAGAGAGGAAATCCATAATTTGAGCAAAATACTTGAACTTTTTTTGTAGGGTGGGGTGAAGTAGGAAGGGGGAAATGAAAAATCCTTTATAATGGGTGCTTGGGATGGCTTTTATCCTGGGACTCTCTCTTGGGCTTTAAGAAATGTTCAGCTTCTCTTTCTTAATGTAACAAAGCCTTTGTAAATGGAGCTTCCATCAGGAGTGCATGCAACTGAAAACATGCGTAAGCTCGGGTCGTGTATTGCACCGTATGGTTTGGGATCCCGATAGAGTGCTTTTTGGATTAATTAGCTAGTAACAAAGATAGCCTTGTGTGTTCTGGGTCGTGTAACTTTATCAGCTGTTGATAATTGTGATGCCCTAGCAGAGGTGGTAAAATGATGGACTCTGGGCTTTAAAAACATTTTGCTTTAATTTCATTGCGTTTTCATATTCAGTGTTCGCTGGTTCCTTCATCCTGTGTTTCCTGTTGGAAACATCCTGTTCCTAGGGTGTTGGGCTGTACTTCAGTTGCTTTCTGATGCAGGGCTGTGTAGGCCCTGGTAAAAACAGCAGTCCTTCCTCAGTGAGTCAGCCTTCAGCAGTCTTGAAGTTCGCTGTTGGGTGGCTTCCCTGAGAACACGGGTGTTAAGATCTCGATTTCACAGAGCACTTAAGCACGTACTGAATTTTAAGCGTGTGGCTTAGTATTTTGCTGGATTGCGTACTAAGAAAGGTCAAGGTATTTAGTGGCGGGTGGATAGTGGCCCCGCCACAGCATTTTACATAGTGTTTGTCTTCATAAGGTGGTTTAGTCTCCTGAATCTTTGGATGTTCAATCCAGTTGCTGAAGTGAGAGGTACTTGGTTAAGGCAGCCACTCAGTGTAGATGTGTGATGTCTGTTGATTGTCTCAGGTCATCATGGAACAATTCTTAAAGATTTGCATGTATAGAAAGTGTGTGGTTCATGATTGAAGCTAAATAGACTTTGTAGGGGAGAGAAGGATCTTTTTTCTGAAATGATTACGTTTATATGGTGATGGCCTTTTTAACTTTCTAAGATTTGAGAATTGCTCTCCTGCATTGCAATGATGCTCATCACCTTTTTTTTATGTATTCTGGCAGTTGCTCTGGGGGGTGCTGTTGAGGAAGCAAATCAAATTATCAGATTGTATCTCAGCACTTGATTCCATCACTGGGCTTGATTTAACTTCTCTTCTGGTACAGGGGATCAAATGTCTCAGACCAACACTGCAGTTCAGTGTCTGCTGCCTTGGTATTGGCAAAGAGGAGGAATGTATCAGTCCAATTTCTACATCCCCTTTTTCATGGCCTCCATATGTTCTGTCACCTTTCTTGCCGCTGTTTTTAATAAATAAAATATCTCAGAAATTACGAGTGGATGCTTCTAAGACATGTTTGAATGAGCTGGATCCAGAATTCCTCTGTGGAAGAGGCAGGCTGGATGAATAGTGTATCTATTAACAGTAAAACAAACAAAACCCCCCTAAACCCCACCAGACCTCCTCCATATAGTCCTCCTCACCCAACCCTCACCTTTTCCAGGTAGGAACTGTTGATTTGTGTGAAAGAGCGAGGTGTCTGTTACAGGACAGCGAGTAGTGAACTGCAGTAGTGAACTGGTACTGTGGGCCAAGGCAATGTGTGACTCTTCTGAGATTCCTATTGCAGCAGCAGGAGGATCAAGGCCTGTCCCTCCACTAGAAAAGTGACCAGCAGTGTAAGATGGAGGCTGCTTTTTTGACCTTCAATTCACCTTTTTTGGAGCCTTGGAAATTACATCTAGTCATAGTAGGTTTTGTGTGTTGAGCTCAGGATGTCTGGTTGGGCCAGTACGTGTTGGGAGGGGGTTGTGGCGTGAGTGCGTTTTCCATCACTGTGCAAGCTGGTGACTTAAAATCTATACATGGGGAGAACTTAACTGAGGGTTGAGTGTGGGGAGGAGAAGTATTTTGGAGTAATGAATGGAATTGGATGTAGGCGGAGAGCCTGAACTCTGTCTGGGAGAGTAATAAGCAATGAGGAGGCTGCTGGACCTGACCTGACTTTTCAGTGCTGTGCATTCCTCATCTCAGACGCTATCGGGTCCCACGAGCTCCTGCAAGTGCTCCCTTTAAAAAAGGAATTACTCTTCTTGCAGCCTAGGCTTACTCTATAGTTTTATTATTTATTTAGTTTTAAAGGGTTAGGAGAAATAAAGAGCTCGTAGCTTCCTAAATTAGGTTTTATTTGGTGTGGCTTCACTGATTGTAAACTTATAGTTGCAAAGCTTTCTAGGGGACGAAAAGCTTTTCTGTGTGTGGTTTCTGTTTTTGTTTAAAATGGGTCACATGCCCAGGAATGCAGTCAAATTATAATGGTGACTAAGTGCCGGAAAGCATAGAAAAAGGGAGGGAAGGGTGAGCAGAATAAAACGAGCCTGAGGCTATGGAAGGAAGGCTGGGAAAATGAGAATCTGGCCAGGCCCAGGGCCAGGTTAGAGATTCCTACACCCATTAACAACCACAGGAGATGTTTATTTACAGGGAGCTAATCTTTGTTTTAAAAATGACAAGAGTACCCCAAAATCCCACTTTTGGGAAATGGGTTGAGGGCACAGTAAGGATGGGAGGAGAGAACTGGTTCTGTTTGGGCACCAGTCCCCATCTCTCAAGGATCTTCATCCTGTGCATCTGGCAACATTGTCTGTTCAGAAATGCATGAAAGGGATAAACTCTTGTAATCTAGGAAGTGGTTCTCGACCCCTAGTTACAAAGGATGACTTCTTGTTTGTACTTTTCTGATCTTTTCTACCTGAGCAGCTCCACTAAGGATATTGAATAATTACGTTTATGATATGAGAAAGGTGGGAGCTAAAGCTGCCTTCCCCCCCGCTCTTTAATCAACCTTGGATCTTGAAAGCAAAACAGATGTTGAACAGCTTCTTGAACTGGGTATGTTCGTGTAGACTCTAAAGGGACTTTAGTCCCAGGTCTCTGTGGTACCTACCTTTTGTCATCTCTTGAGCTGTGTTGATCTTGGGTTGTCTCAGCTTGTGCCGATTAACTTTGGTTTGTATCCCACCAGCTGCTTATGAGCTGTAGTCTCTCTTTTAATACCTTTGTAAGTATTTTCCAGCAATGTGGCGGAATTCTGTATTCTCTGGTGGGTTGCTGCAAAAGATAGTCTGTCCTGGGATGTGTGTGCATTGGGTGGTTATAGAATGAATGAATTTTATTTTTTGCTTTGAACATATGTTGATTTCTAATTATTGTATCTGCTTATGTGATTGTCAGGCAGGTGAGAATCTGGAGCTGCTTCTTTACTAGTCTTCTGGCTGGACACACTCTTCTGGCTTCTACTTTCAGCATTCTCCTGACTAGTGTTTCCTCAATCTGTTCTTGTATGGTGTTGTCCTTATCTTAACTGGCTTTCTTTAGTCTCTATTAGAAGAGTGATGTCCTGTTTTTCTAGTTGTTCTGGTAGTTTCTTTCCATGTCATCTTGTTTTAATTACACTTTGTCTGAACCTGTGTTGCGTTCCATATACTAGATCAGGTCTTGATCAGACTTAAAGCTTGTACACTAGTGATCATCAGGGGTGGCTTTCTTTGCTGATAAACACCCACTCTGCTCAGTGTTCCTTCCTTGTTAACTCTCACAAGTGCGCTTGCTCAGGTGTGGCTCAGGCACTGTCAGTTTGCCAGTTCATCATTTGTGGAACCAGACTGAGAACATACCTGTGACCAGCTTGAGCGTATTTATTGTCTGTATAGCATCAGTCCCGCTTGCTAATCTCATCTCTTTTCCTGTGTCTGCAGAGCGGCTGGCATTCCAGTGAAGGAAAGGGTGAAGGTATCTCAGAACTGGAGGCACGGACGCTGCCGGAGGGAGACGGTCTTGAAATGGAAATGCAAGCAAGTGGCTCCGTTTTTCTTCTACTGTGCTCTGTGTCAGCTGCTGCAGGGCCTTGGGTTTGATTTGTGCCCTGAAATGAGATGTTTCCTGAAATGTTTCTGGCTCCTTGTGATCCATGGGGTCTTAACAAGTGATGTCGCTGGCCTGTTTTTGGTGCTGCTGGCTAGCTGGATGTGGTGTAATGGGAGCTGCTGTCTTGCCCTAGGGATTCACTTTGAGAGTTGAGAGTTCCTTTCTTAGTAGGAGCTTGAATTTGTCATTGTTTGGATCGATGCAGTTAAAGATTTAGTAGTCTTTACTACAGACCTCCAACTGATATGTTCATATCTATTGCTGTACGCCATGAGCAATTTTCTGTCCTGCTTTCACAATGAACATGCCTTGATCCCAGACATGGACTTATGTGTCCCCTCAAAATGTTTGGTTTGTCTCCCATGCTTTATCCTGGCCCCTAATTTGGATGTACAAATCTAACATGCTAATTGCCATTCTTCTACCTTATGCTTCTTCATTCTTCTCTCATATGCTTCTCTCCTTCACTTAAAAAAAAAGTATATTTGACTTTAATGAGAGGAGATTAAGTTCTTGCTTGCAAAGGTATACTCGGCTTTCAAAGGAAAGCATGAGATAAGTCTCTTGTCTGAGAAGCACATCTATAAATTTTCAGTCTTCACATCATCAGACAGAAGAAAAAATGAGCGAGATTATGGTTTGTTAGCTGCTGAAGAACAGGGACCTGCTACTGAGCTTTCGTGCCTTTTTGTGCTGTGTAGATTGAAGTGGTGGATAATGTGCCAGTGCTTGTCTAAAGTCCTGGGAACAGCTGTTAACGAGCAGAGTGGGGTTTGGTGCAGGTTGTATACCTGCCTTTGAAGTGCTTGCAACCATCTGTGAAGACAGGCTCTGTGGATGTTATAGACCATTACTAAACCAGCTTCCCAAGTGAAAAGGCAAGGACTGATTTAATGCAGCCACCATTCAAATGGCATCCTCTAATTTTCATTTATCCTGCTTCAAATTTGTTACTTCTCCTTATGAAAAAGCCATAGAAAAAGGTAAAAAGTTAAACTGCAGCAGGAGGAGAGCCACAGAAACTGGCTGTAGTCTAGGTAAGCTGGATATTCACTTGCTTTTAGAGGACGGCGTAGGAGTGGAGGAAGGAAGGGGAAATCAAAGCCTGCCTAAAACCAAAGCTGCTGCTCCAAAGATGCCTCTTATTTTTCCATGCATATATGATCAGGTCCCAGATGAACATTATAACCTGTGCTCAACTGCTTTGTCCGTGTGACTAAAAGCCTGTTATTGAAGATGAATGCAGGCAAGCAGGAACCTTCTATCTAATAAGCAATCTTGTCCTCTTGTTTCTAGTTCCTCATTGTGATGTTTGAGGTGTGGCTGTGTGTAATGGCTCTGCTGACACAGAAAATCACGACCTCTGAGGATAAATGATCTGAAAAAAAGAGGGAGACAGGTTTTTACAAGAGGCCTCCCTGCTTTCAAAACAATTTGTTCCTGAATAGTTTGAAAACTGAAAGGCTGTTCTATGGAGAGTCTCTGTTTTTGCTCAGTGTTTGCATGATATTGGTGCACTCAGCGATGACTGCAGAGTGGAGACCATTTCGCACATCCATCCCTGTAGGACACAAGCCCCGTGTCTCTTTGTATCTGCCCTTGCTGTATCCGGAAGGCCTATTTGCTGATTCTCTGGTGGCTACACAAAAGCAACTCCTTGAGCAAAGAGCTCACCGCCTAAGTACGCATTGTAGCCTGTTCTGTTTTCTGTATTTTGGTTATGTTTCAAGGATAAATAAAGTTCTTGTGATGACAGACTTGATTCAGTCATTGCTTGAGTATCTCCTTCTCTTCTTGGTCTCCCAGGAAGTGAAGCATATTTACCACTTGTAGCTTCAATCTTCAAAATACTTTGGAACAGCTCCTTTGGCAGTCCAGTGCTCTTGACCTGGAACCTGCGTGTAGGAACCTGCCATTGTCCTATAGA